TCACATTATTATCAAGCCACCAGTACTTCTCGTATCCTCCAAACAGACTGTAATTGTTGGAAGGGGCCCATATTTTCCCCATTTTTTCGTTACTAAGGGTACAAAATCAAGGGTTAACAACTGCTTTGAATAATGATGAACAATTATTTAAAAACCTGTAAAGCTGAACTTGCTAATTTTGTTCTTGGCAAAGGAAATGTAAAAAAATCCATTTGATGGAGATTTAACAAGAATTGCGCCCGTTTTTTCTTTGATGCGGATGCTAAATTTCAGTACAAGCTCTAACTACTGTAGTTAACTTCATAATATTATGCTTTAAACATCGGAAACACTTGTGATTCAATTCAATTGCCATAGAAGTTAACTCTTACTATACAAGTAAAAATCTCTGCAAGCAACCCTTGCGCATCTGGGAATTTCTCAACAATGTGTGGCTGTGTTCGCGGCGGGTTGTGTAGATTGGTTGAATCTACTACTATGAGTTTATCTATAAATATAACATAATATGTATTGATTGTTATGTTGTAAATAAATATTTTGTTTTTCTGTGAAGCATCTGCCACAACGAAAAAAAAAGGGAGCCATTCTTGTTTGTATGAGAGAAGACAATGTATTTTTATCACAAACAATCAATGCAAAAATAGTCCCATAGTGGATAATGTAAAAGGACATAAATGATCCCAATGATAAAACCAAGGTGTATGCTAATGTTTTAAAGACCCGAGGGCCACACATAAGGACTTTGGAACCAGTTTATTGAATACAATATAATATAAAAATAAACTGCAATAATATCATAGGACATGTTCAAACCTGGTTGGTGGTTTTGTTTCACTGCCAAAATGGGTAATTATCTCATTTTTACAATAAGTCCATTAAATAATTACTCAATTGTCTTGAAACTTTCAGAGATGATTATAATTGTCATAAAAAATGGTCACTGGTCATCGGCTATGAATAATATTGTGAAATGGCCCAGTTATGTTGAAAAATGTAACATTTGGTTACACTTTTCAATGGTTCAGCCAATTATTTATTTCTGCAGATTCTTGCTTCACAAAAATGTACTTTAGGTATTTGCTTAGCTGTGGAATGAAAAAAAGGCCCACTTTTGATTTCATTATAAGGCCCAGTAGCTTACCTCGCAAGCACGGGGGGGGGGGGGGGGGGGGGGGGGGGCCAATGGCATAAATGGAGAAAATGGAGATTTACTCATGGGTTTTTCCATTTTCTCCGTAGAAAAAGTCTCCATTTTATGCCATTTTATGCCATTTTATGCCATTGAAAACCTGAAAAATTTAGAATTTCGAGAAAAATTATTTTTAAAAAAAGACATTTTCGGCCAATAATGAACAGAGTATCATGAAACATGGAGAAAAGTGGTTTTCAGAAAAACTTTGAAAAATGTTGACTTAGAAAATTTTCAGTCCGAGTCATTTTCGATACGTACCTCCCGTATCGAGAGCTCCGGATTCCGAGCTCGTGTTGCAAAGGGGAGGCCTGCCTTCCGAGATCGCATTACCTCGAGTCCAAAATTGTGTATCGAGGGGAAGGTGTGGACTTCGAAAAACCGAAAAAATATTTTCGGCAAATAATGAACAGGGTAGCATGAAACGTGGAGAAAAGCGGTTTTCAGAAAAAATTTGAAAAATGTTGACCGAAAAAATATTTTCGGCTTATAATGAACAAGGTAGCATGAAACGTGGAGAAAAGTGTTTTCAGAAAAACTTTGAAAAATTTTGACTTACCCCTCGGTACACAATTTTGGACTCGAGGTGTCCCCCTGGTAATGCGATCTCGGAAGGCAGGCCTCCCCTTTGCAACACGAGCTCGGAATCGGGAGCTCTCGATACGAGAGGTACGTATCGAGAATGACTCGGGCCGAAAATTATCTAAGTCAAAATTTTTCAAAGTTTTTCTAAAAACCACTTTTCTCCACGTTTCATGCTACCCTCTTCATTATTAGCCGAAAATATTTTTTTGGTTTTTCGGTTTAAGTCTGCACAGGTTGGGCATATTTCAAAACTGGTTCCACTTGGAGGAAATACCCCTCGATACACAAATTTGGACTCGAGGCTTCCCCCTGGTAATGCGATCTCGGAAGGCAGGCCTCCCCTTTGCAGTGCGAGCTTGTTTCGACTTTCGAGGATGTAGGTCTCACTTCTCAGTGCCTATTACTCTCCCCTATTACTCACTCCTGCTGTAGCCTGTAGAAATGACTTTACACTAGGCTTGAGTAATTATGAGTTTGCTTGAAGTGTGCCTCTACTAACCTAGTATAAGCATCTAGTACCCTACTATGAGCTTTCATAAGCTTGTTACGCCCCTAGTAAGCGTAAATAAACATGTTAGGATGTCCAATTTAGGTGTTAAATGGTGTTAAAGATGAAATTTCGAAGAAAAAAACTCATGGCATAAAATGGAGAAAATGGAGAATTACTCATGGGTTTTTCCATTTTCTCCATAGAAAAAGTCTCCATTTTATGCCATTTTATGCCATTTTATGCCATTGGCCCCCCCCCCCCCCCCCCCCCCCCCGCAAGCACATTACACTAGTAGTAAAGTCAGTCATTTTGAATTTTGGGGTTAAAATGTTTAAAATTTTGGTTGATCTAGTGTTGTGATTGTCAGGTGGGTCTGCCTGACAGATTATAAGGCAGGGTTTCCTCGAGGAACATGTGTAACCCTCATGTAGGTATATTGGAGCGCGGATTTTCATTATCTTGTAGAGCTCTTGGTAACTGTGGTATGTATAGAGATTTTGAATAGCTAGAATATTATTATGCTTAAATATCGGTTTGTTGTGCTCTTTTATGACACATTTTTGGTCAAGTTTCTGGTGTCCTATAGGCCTAGTACGTGCACAAGTCTTAAACTTATCAAAGTACGCCAGCCTGTCACCAAATAGTACTCTGAGACAGTACTTCTGAGCAGTAAATAATGAGCTTATACGTTGTTTTGCTGCCCCACCCCATACAGATATACAGTAGGAAAGATGTGATTCGAACAGGGTATAATATAATTGTTGGTGTAGAAATTCTGGAAGGGAGCAGCGAAGTCTACATAAAGTGGATGTGGAATGATTTAGAGTTCGCTTAAGTGCTTTGATGTGATCTTCCCATGATAGGTTCTCGTCAATTATAACACCCAGAAATTTTGCGGATGAAACCTTTTTGATCGGAAAGTTGTCTATAGTTAATACAACTTGACTTAGAACCTGCCATGGTGGGTTTGAAGTGTATGTAGCAGCACTTGGACATGTTTATATGTAACTTATTCGCTCTCATATAAGACTGTAATGATGACAAAAGCTCATTTCTTCGTTCATATGCCTCACGTTTTGTTATGCCGACAACAAATATATTGGTATCATCATTAAAGGTAACAAATGATCCTAGTTTAGAACTGTTTGTGATGTCGTTCATATAAAGAAGAAATAGGAGAGGTCCAAGAATTGAACCCTGCGGGACACCAAATTGAATAGATAGGGTATCTGATTTTTCTCCTACAACTTTGGTGTATTGTTGCCTGTTTGTCAAGTAGCTTTTAATGAGGTTATTTGCAACTCCTCTCACTCCACATCCCTCTAGTTTTATAAGAAGTGTTGAATGGTCGATAGTGTCAAAAGCTTTGCTTAGGTCAGTGAATATTCCTAAAATATGATTCTTAAGTTTAAGATATTTCGTAATCAAATTTACAGAGTAATTGACTGCATGAGATGTAGAGTGAGATTTCCTAAATCCAAACTGCGTCTGTGATATAACTCCCTGGGAGCTAACAAATCCGTATATTCTAGAATATATGAGCTTTTCAAAGATCTTACCGAAGACGGACAGTGTGGAGATAGGACGGTAGTTCTCGATTTCTTCTGGGTTACCTTTCTCATACACAGGTGTTATTTTACCAATTTTCAGGACATCAGGAAATATACCTTTGGTCATAAGGATATTGAAGTAATTTGATAATACAGGTGCAATTACATGAGATGACTTTTTTACTACACTTATGGGAATGTCACTGGCTTTACCATTTGCTGATGGTGGTGAGTTGTTTCTGATAGTTTAATACTAATACTATCATTATATTGTGAGGTGTGTTATGTTGTGAGCGTTGAGATTTCCTTAAACCTGGAATATTACTCAGTAAAAAGGTTTGCCAGCTTTCCTGCGTTATTGCCTCTTGATTGGTGTTCTAATAGCACACGTTTTGCATTAGACCTGTATATGTTTATTGAAAATAAGCTGGGACGACAGCTTATTTTGTTTCAGTAATGGCAAGCAGTGGACCTTTGAACAAGAAATGCGGCCGCTTTTCTTTTGTGGATGGCCGCTCAATTTCCCGATCCGTGATGGCGTATTTTATCATATTCCATACAACCTGGGTTCTCCAGGCTTTACTGTTTATACTTTATAAGCACTAGCAGGAATCCGTATAACCCTAAAATGGTGTCAAGATTCAAGAGACTAAAATAATTATTACCTATTTAATTCGCGTTTTTGACACCACTTGGGGGTTCAAATTTTGGGCTCTAAAATTCATATTCATTGGCCAATTTTGTATTTCTTCATGCTGATTTGGAGGCCATTAAAGCATTAGAACCAGTCAAAAAAGTTTCAGTTGTATATCTTTTACAGTTTTTGGCGAAAGTCGCCTTAAAGTTGATGCCATGGTGTCAGTAAAATGGTACGGATAAACAAGCTTTCACACATCATGTGAAAATAATGTTCATAACCTCACTCGAAATTCCACCTTCACATCAATCAATTGCTGAAAAGTGAAGGAGGATGGAACCAGTCCACGTTAGCTCTGATTATTAAAATGATTCAAACCATCAAAAGTATACATCTCAATATTTTTCATATCCATTTTCACAGTTTCCACTTTTGAATTATTTAGTTTTCATTTTCCATACTCATTATACTTACAAAATATGTTGAATTGTTAATTCATCGCTGTGTTTAAACATTATTTCTACTGACAGTGCTTGTATTTTGGAGGCATCATCCGTTATTAGCATTATCCCCTATACTTACCCCAACCCTCCGAGAACTGAACAGTCTAGTGGAGCTCGTAACCAGTGTTGTTGTGTAAGTTCTTAAGGTAGGGTTAGTCAGGAAGTATATAACAGGGTTCAAGAAAGTGGAAACAAACGTGGTAGCCACCGTCCACCTCAACTCCACCGAGTCAGTCCAGTTCTGACGGTTCTTCAGAAAGTACACGAAGTGAGGCAAAATGGAGGCCAGGAACACCCCTGTTACAAACACCACGATGGAGACATTAGACCAGTTGATAGTGTTGTGAGTATGTTTGAAGGCTATGTAGATCAGAATAGCGTTCATGATGACGAGAGCTGAGCAGGGGCCTATCTGAAGCAGTATCGCACAGACCAGATCCAGTCTGTTGAAAAAATATCTCGTGACGTTGGTCTCATGGTCCCAGCAGTAGCACAGATACTCTGAGAAGGACACCTCCAGATCCCCGCTAGCACCCCACCCCCACCTCCACACGGGCTGGGTCGCGCACAGCACCGCCGTTCCCACGGTAACCGACACTCGCTGCTTCCACGTGCTGTGAAGATTCCGCAACGGATACCGACACCTCAGGACCTTGTTGAGAGAGAGGACGTTGATAAGGATCATGTTGGAGAGGACAGCACAATAACGGTACTGAGACACCACCTCACACGCTACTGTTCCCAGGATCCAGACCTTGCCAGCGTGCAGGGTGATGAGGATGGGGAGGAGGAGGAAGAGGAGGTGCAGGATATCAGTCACAGAAATGTTCTGGATCAGCCACACTGACATCTTGTCCATCTTTATTGCGCTGTGTTTGATGGTGCTGTGAAGGACGTACAGGTTGCCTGATATACCAAGGATGAGAGACATGTAACACCAGGTCATGTAAAAATAGTCAGCTGCGGTCAGACTCATCTTGCCTGGGGTGGGAATTGTGATGTTGTGTGGAACTGTTTGGGTCACTACTGGGAACCTTGGCAAAAAACAGTGTCAAATTGAAGAAATATACGGCTCTTATTATAGCTTTATAGACACTGTTAGTATAGCTATTATATCCAGGGCAAGTATGTGTTGGCTCCAAGTTAATTTTTGGTCGATAATTACTCCGAGGAAACGTGCCTCAGTCACTTGATCTATCTCTAACTGTCAGCTGAGTGATGAGTTAGTCGACTCTTATTAGAACAGGTGGCGAGAGGACCCAGGAGCTTTTAAGCTTTTGTGAGCCTTGGTTGACTATTAAGATTACTAAACACCTGCTCTATTTCACTTCTTTGTGCTCTCATTAGATCATTAGATTTACAACATAATGGTCAATCATTCCTATAATCTCTTTCCTTTAGAGGTAAAGAGGCCCTTGCATCAGTAATCAGGACTGAACATTAGCAGAGCTACTACAACACGGGTGCTAGATCATCGGTTAGCGCGTGCTACTTAATTTGAGATGGAGAGTAGATCTTAATGTGTGGTACTCATGAGAAATTTGAACATACATGATTTTACATTGCCTCGAATATAGTTTCCCAATAGCAGGTGTCTAGTAGGCTATATTACACATGTCATAATAAAGTATATTATATTATATTATGTATAATTATCATTATCAATACAGAAATTACATGAACTAAGGCAGAACTTTTTTGAAGGTAGAAAAAAAGAAAGCATGCTGCTGTTTCGTAAAATAGTACACAGGAATATTAATTACAACAACAAACTGAGCAAATTCTTATATTCTGATGATTTTCATAATAATTTAGTAAGGGCTGTTACAAAACTTTCATATCCTACTAACGACTTTAGCAGCTTTGAATGATGGCAATCTGAGCCAATGTGTTTCACAAACATTAAGTTTTAAAGAATTCTTTTTAAGAATTCCTTTTTAACATGATCACATAATAAATCTCTAATAGAATACTATTAGCCAGCACTAATCCCGTATGCCTGGAGTAATGAAGCTATATTAAATTATACAAATTATTGGTAACCAAAGTAGCGTATAATATTGACAGCAAGCTTATCATGCTAATCACTGTAGATAATGTATTATGTATATCTATATTCTACAAGTGTACTAGATTAACATGAATATTGAACAGTGGTTTTGCTCTCAGTTATTCTCGATTCTTCAGAAGACAATAGTCTGTTTCCACTGCATGGGCCTAGATTCCAGTTTCATCGACTTCTGTTCCACCCCTTCTTTCAGTTAAAACTGTTTCCTTTCCTTCCTCCTGCCGCCTTCTTTGAGTTGGATCTGTATGTAGCAATTCGTTGATTGTTTGAGCCCTAATAATAGGATGTATTTGCCTCTTGGTAATGAAACACGAAAAAATCGCAACGAATCTCGCCTTGATGAAATTCTGAAAGCTTGTTAAGGAAATCGTGTAGATGAAAACATTGGCAATGTTGTTCAAGTATGGAATACACTTACAAAACATATCCAATTTAAGGTTTCTGTCACTATCACTGGCAATCACCCAAAGGAAATAATATCCAAAAAGGGGCAACATACTAATGCAATAAACAGCAGCTATTAAGATTACAGTTAAGGTTCCCTGAAGATTAACTGATCTCCCTTGTCGGTGATTCAGTCTTATGGCAATCACTATCAGCCAGATGCCAGAAATCACTACTGCAATGGTACAGAGTAGTGCAACACTAAATACTACAATAGCTGACTTAATAAACAATTGATATTCAATCAACATGTCACAACTTAGATTACTATAACCGTATACAACGTCAATTTTATCTTTTTGCAGAACAAATATTAAATTAAGGGCTAATGAGAGAGCCCAGATGCAGCATGCTATAATGTGTCCTTGTCCACAAGTCCATGTTGCACTCCTAAATGGAAACAGGATAGAAGCCAGTTTGGAACAGTTCACAGCAGTAATCAAAAAACCAGTAGCAGACACCAAAAACCATCTGGAGTATGCTTGAAAAGCACAGAATTGTTTGCCTAGCAACCAATGGTCCGTGATGGCAGCCAAGCAAGTGGGGAAGAGAACTACAAATGTAGTTAAGAGGTCCAAAACTGCGACATGTTGAATCAATGCAGTTGTTATCTTGTCCAACCTAATTGCTTTCTGTTTAGTAGCGATTAAGATTACAGTACTTCCAATCAGTCCAATAAGTGTACCAAGAAGGAAACACGTTGAGAAGAGTGAACGGGCCAAAACAGGGTTCACATTGTTATCAAGCCACCAGTACTTCTCGTATCCTCCAAACAGACTGTAATTGTTGGGAGGGGCCCATATTTTCCCCATTTATCGTTACTAAGGGTAAAAATCAAGAGTTAACAACCGCTTTGAATAATGGACACCAATTATTTAAAAACCTGTAAAGCTGAACTTGCTAAGGCTGTAATAGCAAATGTCAAGAAATCCATTCGATAGAGACAAGAAAATTTATCCTTTTTTTAAACGTCATTATATACCATAACATGAGAAAAGACAATTTTTTGTATGAGAAAAGACAATTATATTACTTATCATAAATACAAAAATAGTAATATTTATTCGGAAAATTGCTCGTTAATTCCACGGTAGTAAAAAGACATAAATGAAAAAACGAAGACACATACTTCAGTTGGTACACAAATTATGCGTTAGTCGACTCTTATTAGCACAGACGGTGACACAGAGAGGATCCATTAGATTTCATAACATAATGGTCAATCATAGCTATAATTACTAAAAGTGGCCCTTGCATTAGTAATGAGCACGACCGAAAACTGAATATTAGCAAACAACAGAATGGTCAATCATACCTATAATCTCTTTCCTTTAGAGGTAAAGCGGCCTTTGCATCAGTAATCAGGACTGAACATTAGCAAAGCTACTACAACACGGGTGCTAGATCATTAGTTAACACGTGCTACTTACTTTGAGATGGAGAGTAGATCTTAATGTGTGGTACTCATGAGAAATTTGAACATACATGATTTTACATTGCCTCGAATATAGCTTCCCACTAGCAGGTGTCTAGTAGGCTATATTACACATGTCATAATAAAGTATATTATATTATATTATGTATAGTTATCATTATCAATACAGAAATTACATGAACTAAGGCAGAACTTTTTTGAAGGTAGACAGGAATATTAATAACAACAAACTGAGCAAATTCTTACATTCTGATGATTTTCATAATAATTTAGTAAGGGCTGTTACAAAACTTTCATATCCTACTAACGACTTTAGCAGCTTTGAATGATGGCAGTCTGGGCCAATGCTTATACAAACATTATGTTTTAAGAGTTCCTTTTTAACATGATCACATAATAAATCTCTAATAGAATACTATTAGCCAGCATTAATCCCATATGCCTGGAGTTAGGAGTAATGTTGAAGCTGTATTAAATGCAAATGATAAAATTATTGGTAACTAAAGTAGCATATAATATTGACAGTAAGCTTATCATGCAAATATACAATAGATAATCTATATTCTGTAAGTGTACTAGATTAACATGAATATTGAACAGTGGTTTTGCTCTCAGTTATTCTCGATTCTTCAGAAGACAATAGTCTGTTTCCACTGCATGAGCTTAGATTCCCGTTTCATTGACTTCCGTTCCGCCCCTTCTTTCAGTTAAAACTGTTTCCTTTCCTTCCTCCTGCCGCCTTCTTTGAGTTGGATCTGTATGTAGCAATTCTTTAATTGTTTGAGCCCTAATAATAGGATGTATTTCCCTCTGGGTAATGAAACACGAAAAGATCGCAACAAATCTCGCCTTGATGAAATTCTGAAAGCTTGTTAGGGACATCATGTAAATGAAAACATTGGCAATGTTGTTCAAGTATGGAATACACTGACAAAACATTTCCAATTTAAACATGTCGTTATCACCTGCAATCACCTCAAGGACATAATATCCAAAAAGAGGCAACACACTAATGCAATAAACAACAGCTATTAAGATTACAGTTAAGGTTCCCTGAAGATTAACTGATCTCCCTTGTCGTTGATTCAGCCTTACGGCAATCACTATCAGCCAGATTCCAGAAATCACTACTGTGACGGTACAGAGTAGTGCAACACTAAATACTACAATAGCTGATTTAATAAACAATTGATATTCAATCAACATGTCACAACTTAGATTACTCTTATAGTAAACAACGTTAATTTTATCTTTTTGCAGAACAAATATTAAATTAAGGGCTAATGAGAGAGCCCAGATGCAGCATGCTATAATGTGTCCTTGTCCACAAGTCCATGTTGCACTCCTAAATGGAAACAGGATAGAAGCCAGTTTAGAACAGTTCACAGCAGTAATCAAAAAACCAGTAGCAGACATCAAAAACCATCTGGAGTATGCTTGAAAAGCACAGAATTGTTTGCCTAGCAACCAATGGTCCGTGATGGCAGCCAAGCAAGTGGGGAAGAGAACTGCAAATGTAGTTAAGAGGTCCAAAACTGCAACATGTTGAATCAATGCAGTTGTTATCTTGCCCAACCTAATTGCTTTCTGTTTAGTAGCTATTAAGATTACAGTACTTCCAATCAGTCCAATAAGTGTACCAAGAAGGAAAAACGTTGAGAAGAGTGAACGCGCCAAAACAGGGTTCACATTGTTATCAAGCCACCAGTACTTCTCGTATCCTCCAAACAGACTGTAATTGTTGGAAGGGGCCCATATTTTCCCCATTTTCCGTTACTAAGGGTACAAAATCAAGGGTCAACAACCGCTTTGAATAATGAACACCAATTGTTTAAAAACCTATAAAGCTGAGCTTGTGAATTTTATTCTTGGCATAGCAAATGTCAAAAAATCAATTTAACAGAGATAAGGTTTAAAAAATTGATTCCTTTGTTAAACGGCATTTTTGTTAAAAAGAAAATTTTTTGTATGAGAAAAGACAATTTTATCATTTATCACAAATCAACCAATGCAAAAATAGTTCGGAAAA